CTAGAAATAGAACAGTAATTCAAGTTCCTTTGAGATACTTTATGATGTGGGCTTTGGCTGACAAACAAAAACATGGAGGGCATGATCTTCAAAGAGGAGATGGTAGCCTGAAGATGATGAGAGAGTGAGAAAAGGGGGCACATTTATATTGCATCAAGAAAACAGAAATAGAAATCTTCAGCAGGTCACATGTAAGGAATGAGATAGAGTGGGGGCAAGGTGAGGACTGGATCCTTTCCTCGCTTGCAGTTCCATGAACAGTAGTGCCATTTGCAGATAGGAAATGGAGGGTGGGAGAAGCAGGCTAGGTAAAAGAAAAGCTTTAAAAAAACGAAACAAAACAAAAAAACCGAGTTGAGCCTCAAGTGATATTGCATAGCAGGTGCTCAAGACAAACTAATTTGGATAAACATACAAGTAAAAATTGCCCAAAAGGTATCTGGAAATGTGGATCTCTACCAAGAGGGGAGATCTTGGGTGTAGATTCCTATTTTGAAGTTTGGTGTACAGGCGAAATGTCAGACCTTCATGGTGGTCATCCAGGGGAAGGAACGTTGAGGAGAAAAGAGATGAAGGACCAGGGGAGCAGTAACACCTGAGAGTAAATGGAGAAAGAGGTTGGAAAAGATAAATCACTGGACTTGAACCACAAACCCTGTTAGTTATATGAAGGCTGAGATTTTTGTTTACTTTATGGTACCTTTTACAGGTTGAACTATGCCGCTTTCATATTCCTATGTTGACATATAACCTTCAATGAGAATGTGTTTGGAGGCAAGATCCTTAGGGGACAGTTAAGTTTAAATCAGGTCATCAAATGGGACCCTGCTGATAGAACCCTGCCCTTATTACAAGAGGAAGGGCCTTCTTTATGTCTTTCTCCCCGCTTCTCTTCCCCTTGTCATGGGTGGACACGTTGAGAAAGTGGATCCCTGCAAGTCAGGAAGAGGTCTTCACAAGAACTTAGCATGCTGCCACTCTGATGTTGGACTCGCAGCCTTCTGACCTGAGAGAGAATAGGTGCTGCCTAAGTCTCCCAGCACTATAGTATTTGATTAAATGCGGTGGGCCCAGACTCACCAAGCCAAAATCCCACACCTAGAAGTGGTCCTACTGAACAGAGGAAATCATATTTTTTCATTGAATTGAATGAGTCATTTGTTGGCATGGCTTTGCAAATATATTCCTCCCTCAACCCAGTGTAATTACAATTGAGGGGGTTGGGAGAGGAGCTAAGCACTTGGTGGCATAGGAATCCTGGGTTCTTGGTGGAAGAGGGAGGCAGCTATGGGAATGCAATTGTAAGGAAAAAAGAGACTCCAAATGCATAAATATCTTTTTTTTTTTGCCAAAAAGGTTAGGTCTGGCTCTGAAATTGTGGTTGGCTCATTCATTCACTCATTCATTCTCTCTGTCTTTCTCTCCTTCTCTCCCGTGTGTGTGTGTGTGTGTGTGTGTGTGTGTAAGTGTGTGTAAGTAAAGGACTTGCTTAACATTAGGTAGGATTATCTGATGCCAGCTGAAATTAGGCACAATCTGGCTATTGCTGTTCATGGAGAAATAATACCCCACGCTGGCTACAAGATTCCTCAAGTAAATAACAGAAAAAGGGAGGAAGAAGACACAGTGTAACAGTAATTAGGATAATTGGAATTCTTGTAGCACTCATGGCACTTATAGTGAAACTACTTTCTAAATTGTCTTTCTACCACATACAATATAGAAAAAAAAATTCCAAGAAAATGCAAGATGGAAGTTACTCAATTCTATCAAGCAAGTGAATTAAATCTGAATCATTCGTTGATTCATAATAATGATTAGCCATTCTTCCTGACAACCAAAAATTCAAAAGCTCTTCATCAAGTCCTGGGTAAGAAGCTGGGAAGTAGCATCTGAGGTTTGCAAGATTAAGGGCTTTTACTTGGTTCATGGTGCACAAATCATGTCTCTCTTCTCTGAGTGGCAGTGAGGAAGAAAAAGCGATCTAGAAAGATGTTTATAGTATTGATTCCACTCAGTGTCTCATTAGTGTGTAGCCTTGTAGGCTTAGGTAACATTTGAAAGCATTAAACTCCTGTCATACTTAAAATGTCCATGAACAGAATGATAGCACAAGTCTGTGACCATGAGGGTCCCCATTCCAGGGAAAAGGGCTTGAAATACAGGAGAGCCTGGTACCCTAGTGCCAGGTAAAGCCGCATACCCAGTCCTGGTTGTGCCAGGGGTCGGCAACGGGTCTTTCAATCTGTGAGATATCCCAGTGGCCAATTACATCTCTGGTAACAGGAATCAGAACCATGGTGACCTGAAGGATTTAGGCATTCGGCAGGATATGCATTCGGGTATCTTCTCGGGGTGATGGGAATGCTGTTGATGTTGTTGAGGCTGTTTGTTGCATCTTTGCAAACTCACCTGTGTCCTTCAGATATATACATTCTGTCGTATGCAGATTTCATCTCCAGAACAAAATCCAAGGTCAGGCGAGAATTGTGTAGAAGCGAATATAAAAGAAATCTTTAAAGCAAATGACTAAAACATCTGAAAATTAGTGGAGACGTGCAATGATTGGTTTTCTGTGTTGGAGAGAAACAGATGGTGTCAAATAAATGCTCAAAACTAACTCCTTTACAGAGCATTTATAATTCATATCTTGATCAGTTTGAACATGCCTAACCTACATCTCACAGGGAAGAACCCATTTCTAGTAATCTAAGCTATTACAGAGATATTTCCACATTTATTTTCTTTTGTGTTTCTGTTGGAGGAATAATGTTTTTGTAAATGTAAAAAGCTTTTAATGGAGCTAGAGAAGAAGCTATGTTTGGTCATAGTATTATCTGGTTATGAACTAAAAATTCAGAGCTCTCTTGTGAATCATGCTGCCAAGAATTGCAAGCTTAAGCCTCGAGATTGTACAGATTTGAATTTTGACTTCATGGCCTTAGTCGGTATGAAGATACAAGATAATCTTCTAGCAAAAACAGTTTTGAAAAATCCTAGGATATCACATGGAAATCAAGTTTTTAGAGATGGTTGTTCAGACCGGTGTGACATTATTTTATCCCTAACTATATGGATTAATGGGTGAGATAAAACTTGATGACTTAACATGGGCAGACACAGTTTGAGGCACCCAGAATTAAAAAAATAAATAAATAAAAAAAACTTTATCCAGAACTTGTCCTGAAGGAATTTCTGAGCAGAATGGAGGGATAATATGCAAATGCTTCCAATTCAAGGAAGAACATGATAAATAAAGCTGCCATGGATTTCAGAGGAGAGGACACTGTTCAATTAAGGAATGGAAGAGGTAGCATGGGTAGGGAAGCACTTGGTGTGGGCTTTTAAAAGGGCTTCCTTGCCCTGAGGTCCAGGACAATGAGGGTCCTGGGCAGATGAGATGTGTTGAGTTGTTGGAGCACAGACAACATGCCAGAGAGGGCAGGGGAGAAAGGGGGTTACAGGCAGAGCGGGTAGCGGTCGGACTCCCAGAGTAACTGTGGAGCTGGAAGATAAAGAACCAGAAAGATCTCAGGCAGGGGGCTCTAGGGAGAAGAGATGGGAGACTGGAAGAGGCAGAGAGGCTCCCCACCACGCAGGATGCTTTCCTACACTCTGTCACCAAGACTGAGATGGGCTTGCCAAGAAGGGTGTGGCAGAAAATGCCGGGGTGAACATGGCCAGGGACATCTTAGCTTCACTGTGATTGTGCTTTTCTGAGTTCTTGTAGTTTCTTATCCTGGATTCAACATTAACAGTCAGATTTCCTTTCCTTCCCTTTTTTCCCCTCTTCTCTCTGTTCCCATTTTCCTTCCTTGTACACTCATTTAATTTCAGCCGGCCTAGTGCGTGGTGGCCTTGGTTGACCTACAGGGGGAGTGTAGCAGTGTTTTCTCACATTCAACGTTTGTTATCATTGCTGAAACCGGAGGGAGCACTACTGTGCCCCAACAGTGTGATATCTTGCATCTTTCAAAGTTATATATATTTGCATTGTGACATATTAGCATTTATAATATCCTTCTGGGTACTGAATTCAACAGCCACTTATAAATCTCTTGGTAACTGTACAGGGTCCCAGAGCAAGAGACTAGCACTCCTGGCATTGTGATTACAGCCATTTAATACCACAGAGGGTGACTAATGCCTGGCCACTGTGGCTCCACTAAGCGGCATGTGTCCTGGGACCCTGGGTGCACTAGGAACACCTCATGGTCTCTGCTATTACTGTGGTCAACAGAAAAGTTGAGGACCAGGTGGATTCCTGTGGGCATGACTGGCAACCCAGAGACTTCTCCCCATGTGCATGACCAGTTCAACTTGAAAACTTAAAAATCAGTTTAAAACAAAAGTACCCACCTTTCTTTTATCTCTGTACCCTAGGTGTTTAATAATACTTTCTCATATGGATACGTAGAGCAGTCAATGTGACATTTGTGGAAAGATTTGTGGATTTGGTTAGCGAAGTAGAGAATTGCTATGTTTCAGCCCTGATACACATCCCCAGAATGCCAAGGCATTTATTCCCGAGCCCCATTTCCTGGTGCGGCGGCAGGGATCGGCCACGTGTGTCTGTGCTGACACTGGGAACTGGGGCCAGAAAGACTTTTGTTAGATTATTTAGGAAAAGCCACCCATGTCACATTTTGTAAACCTGATATCCATGCACTTTTGACTAGCATTCTATTTTAGCTTTAAGCCTATGATTTACAGCCAACCTGTTTTCCCTCTTGCCTGGGGTGGCAGTGGAAAGTAGGGGACATGCTCCAGGCTCCCCAGGTAAGGAGCACCAGGGGCTAACTTCCGTGTTCTGGGTGAAGCTGACTTGAGCTGTGCCTCACTGTTCTCCCTTCATTCCTTGCTGCCATTCATCCAGTTCCGTGCAGCAACCCAGCTGCCGCGTCTGCCGGGAGGGGCTGCCAAGTGCCCTGCCTACTGGCTGCTTCCCGAATCCCTGCCATTCCACACACAAACACATCCACACACGCTCTGCTTCGCTCACACACGGAGCCACTCACACGTGCAGACACACTCCTGCCATCCGCCTCACGCTCTCGGCCCTTGACTTCTACAAGCCCATGGAACATTTCTGGAAAGACCTTCCTGGTCCAGCAGGGTAATGTTTTGATTTCTTTCTCTGTAGCTTGAGCGTTTTGAGAAAGCAACTTACCTTCCTGCCTGGGGTCTGTATCCTAGCCGGGAGATGAGGATAGCTGTCTTCCGGGGTGGGGTGGGGGGGGGGGATATGTGTCTCCTTTTTCTCTCAGGACCTTTAGGCTTCGTTGTGTCATTTGTGTATAATTTGGCAGGTTCAGAATTTTTTAAGAGCCCCATGAAGTGCTCTCGCATGGCTTTTAAAGAGGCATTTGAAAATTGAAAGTGTGATTTTACAAAAAGTAAATCATCTGTAAAAAAAATGCTTTAAAAACTGACCATAAAGAGAAATATCTGTGATCCATATAATCTGTTTTTAACCCTTTCTTGGCTTATAATTTTTGGTTTCTAATGCCCACGTCAATCTCGGCTTCACAGTAAAACAGCTACCTTTGCACATTACTCAAAAAAGGTCTGTTTGGGTAAGAACTAGAAAAAAAAATGTGTGCTTATGTTTATAAAATTTTTTTTAAATGTTAGGATTAGCAATAACAACCTTGGCATTTATAGATCAACATCTGGCCAGGTACTCTGTTGGGTGTCGTGGTTGTCTATTAGCAAGGCAAGTTGATTGAAAAGTAAAAAATAAGATTTCGGATGTATGATATACTTACTGTATCTCTTGTCTCATTAAAAGGTGTGTGTGTGTGTGTGTGTGTGCGCGTGTGTGCACAAATGAGAGTGAATTCATATAAATACTTACCTTTTACTTTATTTCAAAACTTTCTTTTCCATCCAATATTTTAGCGTAAGTGAACTGAAAAGGGTCGGTTGTAGGATTTCAAGAACAGAAATACATTTAAAATTTGGTGGTGAGATCAGCAGGGTGATATAATTGCCAAAGCTTTGCTTAATGACCTGAGGTGATGTTCTGTCGGGGAAAGGTCACATTTCATGTTCCGTTTTTCAAAGTTTTGGCTGGCTAACCTGCCGTAGGCATGAATACCCATGCGTGCCTAACCGAAGTTTTTTTCTTTTCTTTCTTTCTTTCTTTTTTTTTCCTGAATCATTCACATGAGGATTTCTAATGGAAGAAAATAAAATGTTGCTGCCCAACCATAGGCAATTTTGTGTGTGTGTGTGTGGGGGGGGGCGTCGCAGAAGAGGGTGTCTGGAGGTACATGTTGCGCATGGGGAAGCAGTCCCAGCAGCTGTCTGCTGGGTGTAAAATGGGGTGCTTCCCATGTGTACACCTTGCCTCTGCTTCCCCAGTGCACCCTCCCCCAGCCCCAGATGCCTCCTACCAGTTCCTGAGGCTGCTAAATATAGCTGACTGTGGCTGGCTGCATATGCACCCCCCCTCCGATCCTATCTGCGTATCTCAGTTACACAGGAGCCCTCCCCAGGGTCATTCTATGTACACAGGACATCTCTCTAGCCAACGAGGAGCGTGAATCCAGCAGAAGGGGAGCCAAACAGAGATAGGTTGGAGTCTGGCACCGGGCACATAAGGCAGCGCTTTGGAACGCGCCCTCCCAGGGCTTAGTCCTTAGTGTTTGTTTTAAACCAGGTCTTTCCTGGGCCACCTTTAGGAGCTCGCTCTGCGCTCTTCCCCCGCCTGTGCTGGAATATCAGCCTTCAGCAGGCAGCGACCACAAGTAAAGTAAAGTTCAGGGAAGCTACTCTTTGGGACCGCTCCAAAATGAGTTGCGCCTAGAGTGATGTTTAAAACAATGTTGGTGCGAGGCAACTGTCCCTGGACAGCTTCCAGAACCTTTGTAATGCATATGAGCTCGGGGGAAGACTATTTAAAAGTTGGAGACCTAGGAGCCCACGAGTTGGCGGAGCCTGGGCTCCCTCACACCGGGGCTGCACTTGCTCGCCTCTGGAAGCCCCAGGTCCAGCCGACCCGCGGGCTCCGGAGCCAGGACCAGGGCTGGAACGCGCTCTAGGCAGGATCTGCACCGCGTTGCGTCTAACCGTGGACTCTGCTTTCTTTTTTTCCCCCCAGGTGCTCCTTCCTTTGCTGAGCCCCCTGCCGCACTGGGAGAAGGTTCTCACCTCGCCCGGGGCGACTGATTTTCATCATGACACTCCACACCAAAGCTTCTGGAATGACCCTGTTGCACCAGATTCAAGGGAATGAGCTGGAGCCCCTGAACCGCCCGCAGCTCAAGATGCCCCTGGAGCGGCCGCTGGGTGAGGTGTACGTGGATAGCGGGAAGCCCTCGGTGTACAACTATCCTGAGGGCGCCGCGTACGACTTCAACGCCGCGGCGGCCGCCGCCAGCACCCAGGTCTACGGCCAGTCTGGCCTTGCCTACGGCCCGGGGTCGGAGGCTGCGTTTGGCGCCAACGGCCTGGGGGGCTTCCCACAGCTCAACAGCGTGTCACCGAGTTCTCTGATGCTGCTACCGCCGCCGCCGCAGCTCTCGCCCTTCCTGCACCCCCACGGCCAGCAGGTGCCCTATTACCTGGAGAATGAGCCGAGCGGCTTCGGCGTGCGGGAGACCGGTCCTCCGGCGTTCTACAGGTACCCGTGCCGCCGCCACGCGCGCCGTCGGGGTGTCAGCCACGCGCGGGGCGGGAGGGAGCCAGCGAGCGGGTGGGCGTGCGGACCAGGGGGCAGAGCCTCCCGCAGCTCGCCAGAGGCCACCAGCCCTGGGGCTGTTCACCCTGAGAGGAGCCCCTGCCAATGCGGGACTGTGGGAGCCACTGGACGCGTGACCCGAGGGCGCACGCTGCGCAGGCAGGCGGTAATTCAGAGCCCGATGGGCAGCTAAAGGGGGAATGTAATCACCACCATCCTAGCTGTCTGTCCTCCTAGGAGTGCTGAGGATCTGAAAGCTCTCGCGCTTCCTTACTAAGCAGTCTTTGGCAAAGCTGGCAATGCAGCTTTTTTTTTTTTTTTTTTTTTTTTTTTGCGGGAGATGGGGTGGTGTTGGGGAACACCACAAGCACCCCAACACGAGGTGCTTTGAGGGGCTCAAGTCAGCTTTGGCATGGGAAGCTACAGGTGTTGGGGGTTAAAGCAACTCCACCTGGAGAGGTTTTTTTTGTTTGTTTTGTTTTTTTATCTTTCCTATTTACAGCCTGATTTTGTTCTGGCAGCATTTGTTTTTCTCTCGAATCTGGGTTGAGAAATGCGCAGGCTGAGGTGCAGAAGCCAATTTCCACAGCCCTCTCTGGCTTCCCCTTTCCTGTTCTCCCTCCATGCCATCCTGGCTCCGGGCTTTTGGGATCGAAGTGAGGGGCTCAGCAGGGCTGTCGCTGAGGGCATTGGGTCCCTACAAGTTGCTGCTCTGCCAGGAGTCCTGCAAACTCATCCCCGTCTTAGCAGACAGCTCCTGTGGAACGCCTGACTCCTGCCAGTTTCAAACCTGCCTTATCAGGGCACCAGTGCCTGCCTGTGGTCTGCTGGGCAGAGCATGCACCCGGTGCTCATGGTGGAGGGGCCCTGGCCCAAGACACAGGGCAGCACTTGGTCAACTCATTGACAGGTCTTTGTTGACCTTGTTTTAATTTTCTGCTAAAAGGGGCCAACAGAGTGTGTCTTCCTGGGAAACACCTGCCAGAGAGGAGCTGGGGCTCCCAGGCCAGGGTCGTGGAGGCTTCAAGGCCCACGTCCACCAGGCGGGCGGTGACTTTGGTTCTTCCCCACCATGCACCAGCTTCTACCCCGTTTCCTGCTCTGGTTCAGATGCCAGCGCAAGCTGTGGGCACCCTTCGCTCGAGTGTTGTGTTTCCAGAGATATTTATAGCAGAGGAAATAGGACTAAGGTGCAGGTTCGCCCCAGAGGGCACCGGAGGATAATTCTTGGAATCCAAACATAGCATCTTTGGTCTGCTTAGAGTATTCTAGAACATTTCCTAGGCAGTTTTAGGGTGCCATCACTTAAAACACAGTGGACAGAACTTGAAAAAGTTGATCTATTTCAAATTAATTTCTCGTAATTCAAGGTTAAAATAGAAAGAGAGAAAGGATTTCTTCTGCCCACTTTTTCTTTCTTTTTTTAAAAATTCTGAATGAAAGAACAGAACACTGCAATTAAGTTTAATTCACACAGCGTTTTAAACTGCTTGCTCTGAGGGAAGGCACTGGTGGGGTGTGAATTCCATCACCTTATGGTGGACTCTAGAAACTGTTTCTTTTCCATTTTAATTTTCAGTTCTTTCATTGCAAATTAATGCCACTAGATTTCAATGGGCACTAATGAGAAGACTCCTTACAGACTGTTTACTGCCTTGCTAATAATTACAAAGTGAATGTGGCCAAACAAAGAGGGGATCGTGTATTATTCAAAACTGTTCATCAGTCCAGTGGGGAATAACATCAGTATCATATACCCTATCTTAAACTTTTCCGATGAAATCATGGTGAAGTACATTTAGACTAATAGTACTGCTGCTGCTACTAATAATAAAAATAATAAAAAGCCAAGGGACTTTTAAAAATAAAAAATTTGTGCCAGGGGGATTCTGAGAGGAAATTCAGTCTTGGGCTGCTTTTTCCTCCAGGATTTATTCCCCATAACTTCCTTGCCTGGTTCAGATTCCAGCTACAATTACTTAGGGAGGAAAAAAGTTCCTATGAAAGTGATTCAAAGAATCGGATGTTATTACTCTTTTGCCTCTCACTTTTCCTTCTCAAAAATAACTCCGTAGAATAAAAGAAACCAATCAGTCATTTTTGGAGGATTTACTTTTCTTAAAATGTTACTAAAAGTTTTGGAGTTGTTTTCAATCTGTGTGCCTTGACCCAGAGGATCACAAAATCAATTTAGTGCACCTGTAACCTATTTTTTTTTTTTTTACTTAAAAGACAAAGTGAAAAAGAATATTGCAGGAAATATCAGAGTATGTTATCCTTACAGAGTTTTATTTAAATTTAATTATGTGTATGTATGCTTGGGTGTGCTGATTTTGATATAGAATATATCTCTTTGGGTTGAGGTTAAAGAAGTTTGAAAGACGCTGGCCTAAAATGTGATGTTCAGAAGATAACAAACAAAAAATGCAGGCCTGGAGTGGTTATTCTGTACACACAAACAAGATAGCCATTTTGATACTCTATATTGTTCTATTGTAAATTAATCTGGTGCCTTTAGGTCGGTTAGACTTAGCTGTAACGGTTTCTGATTTTTCCTTTTCCTCTGATAGAACGACACTTTTCATGAGACTTCGTGCACAGTGAATTTACGTGAAGTGTATGTTGTTTAACATCAGGATGCTAGGATGAGTCCCCTATAAGGACCGTAATCTCTAACAAGAATAAAGTAGATTAAATTGCTCTGGACATAAAATCGTGTGAGAAGGATTCTTCCGTATGCCAACAAATTATGATGAAGGAGTCATACATTTGTAACGCGGCAAGCAGGCAGTGGTTTGCAAGATGTGTCTTCTCTCAAATTTCATAAGGTGACTAGGATTCATGTTTTCCTGGCGTCCACTTTGGCAGATCAAAGAATTTAAGGACTTAAAAGAAAACTAAGATGAAACAATGATAGTTCCTTTTTTAAAAAAAGAAATCCAAATTAAATATTTGATGCTGTATGTCTATTTTAGCTTTATTACTCAGTATCTTTTAGGTTAATCACCCCCTCCTCCAAAATGCTTGACAAGGTGCACAGCACCTCTGCATCTAAGCCAGAGCTCTGGTCATTTGTATGTTTCCAAGATAACTAGTTTGCCTACCCATGGCCACTTAACATCGGGAGTCCATTGAGAACAGGACTTGGAGAAATCCGAGACGCTCATTTTCAAGTTTCCATAATACTTTCCTTGTACCTGGGTGATATTTCAGCCCCCTTTCTCTCTGTTCTTACTTTTTTCATTCATGTTAATTGTCCCTTATCAGCTCACACTCTGCGCTGATCTAAGAATAGTCCCCGGAGCCACAGATTGCCTGTGTATTTTCCGAGGCAAACGGAATCACATCTTCAATCTCCATTTCATTTTCACCTCCTCCATGTGGCTTGTGCCTGTTTGGTGGAGAGCTTCTGGAGGATAATTGCCACTTATTCTAATCTTTCTCACACTCAGTTAATTTGGATCCCTGGCTATAGCTGCCTGTAATTTACTTTTGTGAATATATTTGGGTTATGATGATCATCATTTGGGAAAAATCTAGGTTGAAGGTTTTAGTTTCTTAGACTTTTGAGGATAAAAAAGAGGGAACTCACATTAGGAAAAACTATAAAAAATGTCAAACTTCTCATGAAGGATGAGAAAATGGTGTTTTTGTCAAGTGAGATTATAGCTGTGAAAGAAGCGCATAAACAATGCAGTATTAACTATTTAAAAATTATTTTAGCTACATAATAATATGTGTCTTAGTGCATTTGTAACCTAAAATGTGGTGGGAAAGCACAGAAGTTTTAGTATGCAGACAGGAAGGTGTTCGTATGAAATCTTTTTCTGTGGAAGTCAAATTTAGAGAAGATTTTTTTTGTCATCTACAGCATTAGTTTGTATTGGCTGGATTATCATAGATAATACTTATTTTATGGGTACATTTATAAAATGTCAAAAGCCAGATCATATAAAAACAATTTTATAGAAATACAAACATACTAATTAAATTTCTGTAAAAGCCATGAACATCACACCGTTGATACAGCTAGCTCCTGCCTGTGATTTTAGCATTAATTTTAATATGACTTGTGAGGAGTCAGGTCGAGAACGCGGCATGCTAACTCTGTTCTTTTCCAGGATACTTTGAAAGGATAGGAGCAAAATGTCTCAGTTGAATTCCAAGTTTCAGGTTGCCTGTTTGAGAGAACAAAACATACAGAGGCTACACTTGTTTAGAACCCAAATGCATCCTCTGAGGAAGGTGCTATGTAAATCCACAAGCTGTTCCTCCCCGACACCCCCCCCCCAAAAAAAAGAGAAATAAAACACAGAGACACACAAAGGCAACCAAGCAAAGTGAAAGTGTAAGGGGTTTCACGGGCAGGAGGTAATTCATCAGAGTCACCAGCATTTTTTATTTTATATTTTAAAGTCTGTTGATGATTGGGTGGATAATGTCATCAAGAAAGCAAAGCCTTCCATGGGTTCTTACTCCATCGCTGCAATGTTCTCTTGCTACCCTGGGAAAGCCGTGGGCTGTGTGGCTGGAGGTAGGGCGGCACTTGTAGGAAACACTTTGATCTCAGGATGGAAGACGCCGGGACCCCTGGGTTCTGGACCTCCTGGAACAGTGTTAGAATTGTGATCACAGTTCTGTAGAATTCCGTGGTGCTCTACATTTTGTTTACATTTTCAGGTCCTATTAGAAATACAAAAGCTAGGAAGGGAACTTTTTTGGTTCTGAATGACAAAATTGTATATTGCTTAGTAAGAGAATTTAAAGGAACTTGACTAAATAAAAAAAGAGGATTATGGCCACTGCTAGTGAGTTGGAAGGTGGTGTGATGGGTTAACCCACAGATGATGATACAAATGGTGAAGATGAGGATGATGGCATGAAGGGTTGGTCTCCATTTTGGTAGGGGATGTTTCACCTATTGTATAGCCTGGATATGTTTA